GCTATTTAAATATCCCATATGACAAATGAATTCATCTAGTCTTTCAGCAAATCTCTCTCTCCTTTTACTTTCCGTTATTTTTTCTTCGAAGAAATTTTCATTCGGCCGGTTTGTTTTTCCGTCGACGTTTTCCTCCCAATTGCCAGAAGTCAACAAGTGGTATCAGAGCCAGGTTGAAGCCATCAGTGGTATATCATTGCGGAGGAGCCAACTTTATCAACAGTCAAGTTGAATAACTCAAGTGGTTAAAGTGTCGACCTAACAACACATACGACTCAGGTTTGAGTAGAAGAAAATGCAAAGCGCGAAAATACACACATCGTAGGGTCCATCTCGGGCAGGCTCACTCACTCCTCCACGCCGCCGTTGTCTGCCGGAACTCCATCACCGCCAAAAAGAGGCCGAGTGGGCCTTGTTGATGTCGCATCAACCTACAGGCGCAAGGGTTATGGCATGCTGTCGAGCCCAGTGGAAGGAGAAACGATCGATTACTGGGAGGAGGAGGAGGGTCGTCTACTCCTCACAGAGGAGGAGGAATGGCTTGCACGCCTAAAGCTCCGCGACAACACCCACGAGAGCAACGGGTCCTCCAGCTGCAAAGGCGGTAAGAAGCCATGAAAATCTCGTTGGTGCATGCGCAGCTTGTACTATGGGAAAAGAGGAGTCGACTGATGACTGGTCCAATCCTATAGTCGGCGACGGTGTAGCTGCTCCAGTGAGCTTCGAACTCGAGGAAGAGCTCCAGCTGGGCGTAACAAATGCCATCGACTGAGGAGCCAATTCAACTGAAGGAGGAGCGAGTGTTCGCTCAGATCGACAAGAGAGACGAGTAACAAGAGCACCAGCGATGAGCCAATTCAACTAAAGGAGCGAGTGTACGCTCAGATCGGCGAGAAAAATGAGCAGCAAGAGCACCGGCGATGGGTCCTCAGCACAGGGGCGACAAACCATATGATCGGGGACAAGTCTTCATTCTCCGAGTTCGACTTGGGGATTCGCGGGACGGTTAAGTTCATCGATGGCTCCGTCGTTGAGATCGAAGGGCGCGACACCATCCTGTTCATCAGCAAGGGAGGCGAAGCACCACAAGCTAACCGGCGTCTACTTCATCCCGAGGCTTAAGGCTAACCTTGTGAGCCTGGGTCAACTCGATGAGGCTGGCTGCCACATTTCCATCGAGCGAAGGCTACTCAAGATCTGTAATGATCGACGACGGCTGCTCACACAAGTCCGTGCACAGCGGCACCATCCTGTTCATCAGCAAGGGAGAAGCTAACCAGTGTCTACTTCATCCCGAGGCTCAAGGCTAACCTTGTGAGCCTGGGTCAACTCGATGAGGCTGGTGCCACATTTTCATCGAGCGAAGGCTACTCAAGATCCGCAATGATCGATGATGGCTGCTCACACAAGTTCGTGCACAGCTAGTGAGCCATTGAAGCTCGTGCACGGCGATATCTACGGGCCCATCAAGTCGGCGATCCCAGGCAGACTCTCTTCTTCCTGCTGGTCGATGACAAAAGTCGCTTCATGTGGCTGATCTTGCTGCAAGCGAAAAGTGAGGCAACAAATCATTAAGCGTATTCAAGCACGAGCGGAGGCTGAATGCAGGAAGAAGATGCGAGTTGGGTGTTGCGTGTCACGGCCATGCTCGTCCAAGGCGTGTTGCCCATGGCCGCATGCCCATGACAAGCCCAACCCTTTATGTCTTTTCATATTAGTATTTTACTTTTGTATTTCTAGGAAGTATGACGTTTCACAAATATCATGTCTAGGCCTGTCAGACATGAAATGCCTCAAAATGTACTAAAGGGGAATACGACTAGTTGTCAACTTCTCCCTACCCAAGGTTATATACTGTGAGTCGTTGTTATTTCTTTCTTACTTGCTTATATAACGTCTCTTTCAAAAATCTCTCTTTCGAAAATCTCTCTTTGCCCTCGCTTCCTAAAACCTTCTCTTAAAATCGAGGCCAGAGGCACGAGCATACGTCGCTTGGCCGTAAGCGACGCAAGAACGAATTGGCTTAGCTCACTTGCCATTGGAAAGTGAGTGCCACACAATCGGAAGTCCGCTGCCATTAAAAGTGCGATTGTGACACTACGCACAGACTGAGGTAGAGAATTCATCTCAGCGAGCTTCGGTAAGTACTGCAACGAGCTTGGTATGCAGCAGCACCTAACGGCGCCCTCCCCCCAACAGAACGAGGTGGTGGAATGCCAAAATCAAACCATCGTCGGGGCAGTAAAGTCATTACTAATGACGGTCGGAATGCCCGGGAGGTTCTGTTCTAGGGAAAGGTGGTAATGATGGTCGTCTACCTTCTCAATCGATCGCCAACGCGAAGCCTCGACGGGAAGATGCCATATGAGGCCTAGTACAACAAGAAGCCAACGTTACATCATCTTCGAGTGTTCGGCTGCGTCGCATACATGAAGGACGCACGTCCCCACCTCGTCAAGCTCGATCCCAGGGAGCTGAAGGTCGTCTTCATCGGCTACGAACCTGAAAGAAAAGCGTACAAATTCTATGATCCCGCAGAGGGGCGAGCTCACGTGTCACGCGACGTTATCTTTGACGAGACCACCTTTTGGCAGCGGAACGACATAATCGAGGCAGATCAAAACCCAAATCAATTCACGGTGGAGTACCTCATCACCGAACCGAGAGAAGGAGGAGCATAACATCAGGAATTGTCACCACCGCCAGCAGCTGCACCGGGCACGCCTATGCCAACCCCAACCATAACTCCAAGTTCAACTTCGAAACTAGTGGAGTTCGCAACACCACGTACTGCGGATTTGACGCTAGATGTCGATCATGATGATGGTCTGGTGGCCAGGTACCGGAGGATGGAAGATCTATTGGGAAGAGGTGAACCACCTAGACTGGCGGCACGCCAACTCGAAAAAGTGGTGGCAAAACAAGACGTGGAGTCTGGAGGACATGCCGCTAGGGACACCGAGCCATAGCTTGAATCGGAGTTCAAACAAAATAAGGTAGATATATGATAGGGCTTTAGGAGGAGATTGTTAGATAAATCCCTACCGAGTGAATGTGATCCCTAACTTTTAGTTAACCATTTTTTTTTAGGTAACTATTTTTACGTTAAACCCACACTATTGAATTGAAGTAAGTGGGAAGTGCAGGTCGAGTGGAAGAGCGTTAGTTAAGTTGCCATTTTAATTTGTTTTTTAAATATCCCATTTTTTATTTAAATATCTCAACCGAATGACAAATGAAATCAGTCTTCAGCACATCTCTCTCTCTTTACTTTCTGTTATTTTTTCTTCGAAGAAATTTTCCTTTGACCGATTTATTTTTCCTCCAAATTGCCAGAAGTCAACATCATAACCTAACTATGAAGAGAGTAGGTTGTGATCCTCACGAGTGCCATGATACGACCGTGGAGAACAGTGCATCATCTAACACACCACACGAAGTGGGCATTGAAGAAAAGTTGAGACATAAGCAAGATAGAGACATCAAATAGACAAGAGGGACAAAGATAGGCTTGTGGAAGGGCCGGGTAGGGTCTCGAGCCTTAACCTTGAAAGTCGAGGTTCCGAAAGGAATTTGGCCATGTTGCTCTGGAGTCAAGTTCGTCCATATGAAATATGAATGCTTGCCAATTTTAGTGTCAATTGGACACCGGACGGACGTTAAACGATATTGTATGACCGTTCACCACAAGTATGTCTATGCCTGGAAGATTGAAAATGACTCAAAATGTACTATAGGGGTACCATGGTGTTAATTCTCCACCACCCCTGGGCCCTGTGGCCTAAGTGAGCTACTCTGTGGCACATACGTGTGTCACAGTGTGGGCAAGCGTGCCGAGACGAGTGTCTCGGGTGACTTCCTTTGAAATGGATTTTTCAAGGACAGTATCGGGCGGCAAGGGTGTGTCGTTATTGTGCCCTAGCTCACATGTTGGAGGTAACATACACCCGTTATCCAGTACGGTATCCGTAAATGATACGGCATGGGCACAGGAGGGCCAATGCCTCGATAGAATCTGGATAGATGGATGTTCAGGAAATCTCGATGAGCTAAGCGATACGCGGGCCCGTTCTCGACGGCATGACCGAACGAGTTGTGATGGCTGACAACATCCCGAGACTCAGGATGGTGCCAAGACATACAAACCATGTCGATGGGGATCGAGATGACAAGATGAAATGCGACATTGTATTGAGAGATCTTGGCCCTGAGTAGAGGCAAGGTCGAGCCGAATGACTTGGACTAGTGTAGAGGCAAGTTGAATGTGTCACATATGATTGAACATGCACGCGTAGGCGACATGTGTGGTTGAACAAGCAATGTTCGATTGGCGAAAACAAACCTCGCCTAAGGTCTGACAAAGTCACAAAGTCAGCGAAATATGTATATGGAGCTTAATTCCCCTTAAGACTGGTAAAAAATGTAGGACCATGCATGACATTACTCAAGAATCTTTGTGATTTCTTTGTTTGGAACACACATTTGCAGAATCCATCTCCACCGTGCTTAAAAAAAAAAAAAAGGGTCATCCCAAATGCAACTCTTGGTTTCATGAAAGATTCTCTATTTTTTATGATAACTTTGCTCTTGAGGCATGATGTCACAGGCTAAAAAAATTGGCTATGTCTGCATACTACGAACATGCTGCTTTCTTGCTCTCACTTATATTGAACAATTACTCATCAAGGAATGCATGGTCGATTTTCTTTTAGTATTTTTTTTCTCCATGCTCTCTAACCTAGATAGGTGATATGATTATTAACTCTCTCAATATCCAAAATTTCGATCAGAGCATTAAAATTCATCTAATTAATCTTGGTTTGACATTAAATTTCATCCTTAAGTGCTCAATTGTTGTTAACTAGTAAAAATCTTCACCTTGATACCTAAAAGTAGGCAACTAAACAACTCTCTGAAAGTGAAGCAAAAGCAAGAGAAGAAATAGCTGCCACATTGATCATTAATTACACAAAAGAATTAAAATAAAATAGAAGTTCCTGTGAATCAATTTTTATCTTAAATTTTCAATTTCATCCGACTAATAACTTTCGATTTCATCAATGCATGAAACTGAAAGTTTAGGATAAAAATCGATTCACCCTGTCAAATTTTGAGATAAAAATCGTAATAATTGCAGAAGTGAGCGATATGGAGGTTGATATGATCAATGACATTTGGGGTTTCTACCAGGACCACCGTAGTAGAAGTGAGTGCCCCATTGGTCATTATACGAGCTCATGATATTATAACAATTGGTATTTTCAGCCATGATCGAGATGTCTTGAACGTCGCTGAGGCTGTTGTCGCTATCAACAATCTCGAGGTTTCGAAAGTAGCTAGCTTTGCCAAAGCCATCGTCGGGGAAATGGCCGGAGCCCATTTGGGTTGAAGTGTGCTGCCCATTGGCCCTTGAGTTGACCACCTCGCCACCCCACTCGACCATGGTGGCATGGTCGCCCAGGTGAGTGAACAGCTCCGCCGGCCAGTACCCGACCAGTGTGTTGTCCCCAAATCCCATCCACCAGCTTCCCAATTTCGGATCCTTTTTTTTTTTTTTAAGATAAAAAAAAGCCTGAAAATAAAAAACAAGAAAACAAAAAAAAAAAAAAAAAAAAAAAAAAAAAAAAAAAAAAAAAAA